GCTGGTCAGTTTCAGCAGCGGCTGAATCTGGACGCCAGTTCCGACTTACATACAGATTCAACTTAAGAACAAACCTACAGACCCTATCTTGTACGTAACACGGGGACTGCCTGTATCTGCAAACTCTTTGTGTAATACGTAATTCTACATTGCTGTAAGCCAGTGCTTTAAAACACTAGTCTTTAGGATAAGGATGTATGGGTTGGTGGGGGAAAGGGGTTTACACCCTATGCTAATATACTTGGACTGTAGGTATTTTATACTGAAGTACTAATCCATGTACATTGTAAAAGCTAAATCCGCCCTGCATGTGTTGTGCATTCATGAGAAAGTATTGAGGGTCTGAATAAAATTTGCTGTAAATTTCAATTTCTGCCAGAAAGCAGCTAAGTTCCAAATAAAGATTTGTTTGCTACCCTCTTGCAAGCCCCATCATGAACATACTCTGTAAATACTCTGTTAATTATATGTACCTTGTTATCACAACATATGCTAGAAGCCTTTTTCGTATAGTTTACATACAGAGACAATGTCTAGTTCTGAGCCTAGAGCTCCACTTAGTGGACTAAGCTGTTCATGAAATGTATTGCCGATACTGCTTCTTAAAACAGAAGATCACAGCTGCTACTAGAGACAGAAATGACCAGTTTGATTATCCAGGCAATTTCCTTAGCAATGCTGGAGGAGGAGGGAGGGGATGTTAATATAAACCCCATTTTACAGCTAAGGAAACTGAGGTATCTTACATAAGGTTTCTGTCAACTGCTACAACCAAGTTTTTCCAATAGTCTTGCAGCACTTTAGAGCAGTGGTCACCAACCAGTAGATCGGGATCTACTGGTAGATCTTGGAAACTCTGACAGGTGATTCTGACTGGTTTGGCCAAGAAGCTATCTAGCGCCAGCACCTCAGCTGCCCTTCACCGCACAGCTGCCCTTTGCCTTGGAACTTCCCCTTTCCGGGAGCCTCCTGCTTGCGGTACAGAGCAGGGAAGGGAGAAGAGTGGTACTTATGTCAGGGTGCTCCCCGCTCCTCCTGTATTCTATCTCCACAGAGCAGAGAGGGGGCACAACAGGGCTTGGGATAGAAGCAGTTTGCTGGTTGCTTTTGAGAGTGGGGCAGGGCCAGGGCAGGGGTGAGCCGCATGAGCCTCACTGCACCACCATCCAGGAGCCCCGTGAGGTAAGCAGTGTCCAGCTGGAGCCAGCGCCAATCCTCTGCCCCAGTCATGAACCCCCTCCTGTGCCCCAAGCCCCTACCCCAGGGTCAGTTCAGAGCTCCTCTCACACTCCAAATCACTTAGCCCAAGACCAGAACCTGCACCCCAACCCTCTGCCCCTGCCTGATGAAAGGGAGGGAGGATGGAGTGAGCAGGGGCAGGGCCTCGGAGAAGGTGCACAAAGGAGGCAGGACAAGGGTATTTGGCTTTGAGTTAGATCTTGGACTGCACTTAAATTCAAAAAGTGAGCTTATGCCTAAAAAGGTTAGAGACCCCTGCTTTCATGGGCACAACCAAGCTCATAATACCATCCACGTTTTTTGTTAGGCTCTAAGGTGCTGCAAGACTTCGTTGTTTTTTTACGTTTTTCCAGTTACTGACTGGTTTCCGGGCTGCCCCCAGACTTCAGCCACGATGAAGACAGTGGGGCTGTGTGACCTGCTTGTGCTCCAGGGCAGGAGACTAGGGACACTTGCCTTCCCTGTGCAGTTTATTTACAATATTAGCTTCCACTATCTAGGCCTGACCTTTGGGCAAGGCAAGCGAGACAGTTGCCTTGGGTCCTGCACATTCAGAGCCCCGCGCCACGCAGCTCCTGGCCCACCCACCTGGCCACTCACTCGTCAGGGCCCCGCGCTGCCCAGCTCCCAGCCCCACCCACCCAGCCACTCACTCGCGGCCATGCGGCTCAGCCACACTGCCTTGGGCCCTGCAAACTCTTTGGCTGGGCCTGCTACCATCCTTATACACTATCTAGCCTGGCCTCTATAGTCCTAAGGAGCCCTCAGCTCCTGATATAAGCCAGGAGAAGTAGGTTCTCCCTTTTTGCTGCCCCGTTTTTCCCATTTCCTTCCTGTGCTGGCTGTGTCATGTGCCGAATGGCCTAATTAGCCGCTTAGTTCTCCTCAGCCCATCCGTTAGGCACAGCTCTTCTTTATGGAGTCTGCTCTAGCGTCATCAATTAAAGCAATAGGGCCCAGAGTGTTGGATCGGTGTTGATTGCCTGGCCCTTTGTCACAAGCACTGGAACCCGGGGCTGAAGAGGATTGTGAAAGAGTACGTCCTTTTTTCACCCCCAGTGAGCTGAAGTATTCAAGTCTGTATGGTGAAAAATACAAAATATTCATCTAGTCAGGGCACAGAAGCATGCTATGATTTGTGCATCTAGTCAAAACTCCTGTTCGTTGTACAGCAGCAGCACTTAGAGGCCTCCATCAAAGGGCACCTTGTGCTAGACACTATACACACATAGGACAAGAAGTTAGTCCCTTCCCTGAGGAATTTATAATCTGATGTAGCCCAAACAGCTTGACTCTCAAATTACATGTAACTTTCCAGGACAAGGGAAGAGATGTAGCACTTGGCTTCTGTCGGTTCTCTCTTTTGAATTATTCAGATTATTTTACAGTATCTTGTCTTCCACAGGATCTGTTTTCATGAACATTATCCAAAGGAAATGGCTTCTTTTTACAGATTTGACTCCTCCACTGCTGGGTTGAATA